CTTCTTGCCACCAGAGCTGCGCCTCGACTCCGCCAACCAGCAGCTGGCGCCACGATCCAACTTCCAACCTAGACGGGCGACGATCCCGTCGGCTGGTCCCTCTAACACCGCGCAGCTCCAGCAGGGACCAGTCTTCACGCGGGGACTGCGAGTGGATCAGGGGACACAGTCACGGGTTCCCTTCCCTGCGGCCGGTCTCTCCCCGCAGGCAGCAGCGCCCCCTAGCTCAGGCAATAACAGGTTCCTTCCTCCCGAGCTACAGGTAGACACCAGGCAGCAGCAGCAGCAGCAACAACAGCAGCAGCAGCGGCAGCAGCAACTGCAGCAGCAACAACAGCAGCAGCAGCAGCAGCAGCAACTGCAGCAGCAACAACAGCAGCAGCGACAGCAGCAACTCCAGCAGCAACAACAGCAGCAGCGGCAGCAGCAACTGCAGCAGCAACAACAGCAGCAGCAGCAGCGGCAGCAGCAACAGCAGCAGCGGCAGCAGCAACTGCAGCAGCAACAACAGCAGCAGCGGCAGCAGCAACTGCAGCAGCAACAACAGCAGCAGCAACAGCAACAACAGCAGCAGCAGCAGCCAGAAGTGCAGCGACCCCTTACATTCAGTCTCATAGGGCAACCGCAACCCGGTGCAAGCAATCACGGGACGAACGTGCCCACGTTCACCACCAACAAGGACTTTGTCATCAGCTTTTAAACGTCGTATTGGAAAACCATGTGCGCTGCCCACGATTCCCCTGCACAACTCGTTAGTAATCAGAGCATGGTGAGATGTGACATCTAGAGAAATCACGTTGACGATGCCCTGCACCTCATGTTCCTAGTACTACCAGGGTGCAAAATTAACGGGAGTCCGGAGTCAAATACTCCCTGATTTACTGTTGGACTTCCTGATTTGACATATGCAGGAGTCCGTGTGACTCCCTGAAAATTCTGCCATATGTACTAGCTAGTTCGTTCCGGAGCACGGCCTTGCGGAATTACCGTATTTTTTCAGCTCATGTCCAAAGAAAATTTGGCATACGTGCAACCGCATGAATCTTAAAAATAAGTACATGTGTTATTGTTAATATCTTTAGTTTTAAACTTCAGACTGCGAACTCCCTCATTTTGCTACTAAGTACCCTCTTTTTGAGGGTAGGGAGTCCGTTGGACTCCCGTGTTCAAAAGTTAATTTCTACCCCCGACTACTATACACACACCCGTAAGAAAATGTCATATTATCTAGTTGCTGATAAGGTAATAAAATTTGTTGCGGAATACGTTAACGTAAGTACTCGCATCACTTTCTAGCGGGCAGCGTTTATGCACGTGCAGATGAGTCAGTGTACAAAATAACGAGTAACGCCAACTAAATATAGTGAGGATAGCTGGTGGTAAGCCAAATCATCACACAACTCTACAGCAGCTACTGCAGTTAGCCTATTTCCTTCACCACTGTAACTTTAATGAGTGTGAAGATAGAGGCACTTGAATCACAACATAATTAAATGTCCTGATTTGATAAATTATTGTAATGTTTTTCTGGTTCATGCAATTAGAACTTTGATGCAATAGAACTTGGGTGTTCTATAATTTAACAATTTAACAACGGTTAAATAAATATTTATGTGTACCAAATACAATCTTTTTTTAGAAACTGTGTCAGTTTAAATCGTAAGCAAAAAAAGTACAACAAACATTAATTTATTATGACCATTAAATTCAAGAGGAAATCATTCATTTTCTCCATCTCAGTCACTCATAATATCTAGACCTTTTCAACAAGACTCACCTATGTTAAAAATTTTAAGTCGACTCATCTTACCTGATATTCACTAACTATAACTATACTACCAAATTAATATTCCTAATACTACTAAACTAATATTAAAAATTATAGAAGCTGCAATGACCTTTCAAAACATCTACACTTGTAGTCCAAAGTCACCAGCATTCAAGAAGCAACTTATTTCTGTAAGCAAGCTAGGCTACACCACAAAAACTGTCGTAGCAATGACCAAAAATCTTCAGCAATATTCACAGTAAAAAATCAAGTGACTAGTTTTTGTATGCACTTCTGAAATGTTGATAACACTGAACCTACTGTACGATACTAAGACAACACACAGACACCTTTACTCAGTCACGTCACCATGTTAAAAGTTAGTCCTTTTCTCAGGACATATTTAAATTTTAATACCCAGAAGCATTTCCATTCACCACCCGAAGAACATTAACTAGCTTACATGTGTACCAAGATTGCTTTATAAATATCATATCTATCATGTTTACACGGCAAAAAGTATCCCGACAAATAAAAAAATATGTCATATGTCACACTTCCAGTAAGGAAAATATATAATGATTAACATCAGGCCCACCCAATGCATTAAGTTAAAAGTTAAATCCTTCCCGCGCCTTCATACGCATAGCGTATAGCTACAGGCGCATAGGGCGGTGCCTATCTCAGTTTCTGTAACCCTGAGGCCCCGCAGCTGCTTTCACAGTAAATGCTACAGTAGGGGGTTAGTCCACTGGTAGCACTGCGAGTTAACTTGCCACACTCTATCTCTATTTGCTGAATGCTAAGCAGAGAAGCCGTGTGTACAATTTTTCAAGTCTTTGGTATGACCCGGCCGAGAGTTAAGCCCCCGACCTTCCACATACGAGGCGAGCACTCAACCATTGAGCCACCCAATGCATGCATAAATATTATTATATTTATATGCCCTAACTTTCAGCAAAGATATATATTCCATTTTTACGAGAATGAACTTCATCACAAAAATATTTAAAAAAAACTGAAAACACAGGTAAAAAGTACAAAATGCCATTAGTTATTGACAATCTACTATGTTCAGGTGTTGAACTTGATCACAGCAGTATGTTACTATGCCAACAGTCAGAGGGTCCTAGGTACAGAGATGAGGTCACTAAGCCAGTGACTTACTGAGGGTGTACAAACTGTACATGTATGTCAGTGAGTCAGCGTGAAACATGCGCTTATACCTGTGGTGCAACAGAACCGTCTTTGTTACCACATTTTAGGTCAAACTCACTAACCAAAAGTCCTGGATATAGCGTACATGTACACATAATTGGATTTCATGCCAATGTAATCAATACAACACATGTATGTGCATGATCTCTATGTGATTTTGGTAAATTAAATCTACCTTTTGATGATGCTCCAAGGTAACTGCGCTGAACTTTGCTAACCATTAGACTACGACCACCATATATAATGTACAATACACAGCACACCGCACACATCTTGTCACGTCACTAAAGATAAATGGGCGCCTAAACAAATGTGGACACTTCGAGCTTTATCTCAGTAAATCCCAGCACTATATTTCAGCAAATAAACACAACAACAAATTATGACCATGAGTCATATTATTCTCCACTCAACTATTATAAATAAACAGTACTAAGAGTCCTTTAAACAAGAGAATGACTATTGCCTTGTTGACACAAAAGGCCATCTAGAAAAGACATACCATAACACTGTATGCCCCCAACGAAAAGCTATCATAAATGTTCATATACACACTACCAGTTCTTGACTACCATACAAAAATGTTCCAGAAAAATGCCACGTTTAGCAGCAGCAAAGCTTGTGATGTGATGAATGTAGTTCGCAAAATGTAAACAAACTGCCATGACCGTACGTTCAAAATAAATTAAACGGTTTTTAAAAACCTCATAACAAAATTAACAAACTAGATTGAGAAACGAATAACCTCTTATTCAAACTTACATCCGTTAATAGTTATTAGCGAAATTGTGTGACTGCTGACAATGTGACGATTGGTTCGAGCATGAGAGTAACGACACAGCTCGGACAAATACACACATGCGGTCTTGTCTGGTAAGGAAGGGAAGGAACCAGTGGTTTGGACACCTGGCATGCACGGAAAGACACCATCTGCACGGACAACGTCACAACTGGGTCCTGTGAGGTAGAGATGAAGAGGCTATCAGCCCCAGAAAATACAGACACTGATGTACAGGGTTCTCCAAGAGCACTTATAGCCTGGCGGCCCGCCAGGCTATCGTCGAGCCCCGCCATCCTAAAATGCACCCGCCACTCTAAATATCATAGCCGCCATGCTAAATATCATAGCCCCCAGACCCCCGATTTGCAACTAGGACCCCCATGGCAGCACCCCCATGCTATAATGAAAAAGCTTGGAGAACCCTGATGTAGGATCTGCAAGGGGCAGGGAAAACATTTAATAATGCAATACAACTTGTTTCTTAGAGCAACTCAACTCACGAGGTGTAAATGAGGCAAGATTAGGTTGGATTGCACTATATTGACATAGGAGGCTGCCTGCACAATGTGCACACAGAGAGGTGGATTTTCTGAGAAGCTTTAATCTGCAATAGCATCTCTTTTCCTTGTGAATCCTGTTAAGATTTTACAAAGTGGGCTAAATTCCATTTTACTATTTTAGTGAGATACGGTAGTCGGATATGTTCAGGAAACTATTAGCAAATGCATGGCCTATTTGCCAGCAAATAAAGCAGTAAGTTACATATAGCTACAAGTACAATGTCAGGTAACTTCTTTGCCTTACAACTTATAAGTCACATTTTTATTTTCGAGCATTCAGTTTCATACTTATAAATAATTAGATGTGTCATAGCAAGCTGGGCCTGCAAAATCAAGGCTCAGGCGAGCATTTTCTCCAGCCGCCACGGGCAGGGTCAATCACTCAGTCACTCACCTTTTGTCATCACCCTTTACAACAATATTATATCACAATTTCAGTTTCACGATTTCCATGATAACATCCATAATTCCTTGCACTATGACCTCGTAATCGTCAATAGGAACAGAAGCGGTCTTTTCTCTCATTGAGTGACCGGCGGGCGACAGGGCGTGCCGAGAAATAAACTAAAATAACCGTGACATGTCATCGGCATTGCGCTGTTTCTACGCAAGATCTTCCTTTTAGATGAAATAAATTAAAACATATACGAATGAATTAATATATCAATATTACCTGGTTTCTCGGTCACAGTGAGGGTTGTTTCTTGAATAAGACTTAACTACACACGCTTCTAGTGTAACACAAGATAAGGACAGACAGTACAGTACAGCGGCAAGTACGAAGCATCTATCGCGTGAGTCACATTTCTCGCGAGAGCGCGTGTCATAAAATTTTACACGGCGTATGCGTGTATCGCGAAATACTGAATACCGGAAATATTGGTCCAGGGGATCAAAATTTCTAGTGTAGTGGCAACTATTTTTAGTAGGGATTTTGTATGTAATGTTTGTAATGTAATGACCCTACACATTTACAGCTGGGTCTGTGTGTAAACGTTTTCCTTAATAAATATTACTTTGGAATTATACTTTGGAAAGTAATTAGTCACTTTTACAGCTTTACTCTTCAAAGTTCCTTACAATAACCCGTGTGCACTGTGCATTTATATTTTACGGCAGATTTATTCTTCATAGGAATGAAAATGCATATCACAATCAAGTCTATACCATAAAGATGTTTATTAAAATATTAATGTATTTACAGTAATGATATATTTTCTTATATAGTTATCACAATCAAATGACCAAATACCCCATCACAAAAACACCCATTGGCACTCAAAGTGCAGATTTATTTATTCTACTAAGCATAATTTCAGCATTTCTCAGCACTCATCCTCCACTCTCACGGGAAGTGCACAGAAATGCAACCGATACATCAGTCAAGTTATGGTTACAAACTACAATACTAGCAATTACATACACTAGCATTACGAAAAAACTTCAGTCAGCAATATAGCTTCTTTTAAAGTTTGACTTTATATTACACTTTTAAAGTTTGCACTTCAGTGGACTAGCTCTTTTGCTTTCGCAGGGTATTTAGCAATGTTACATTTGTTTCACTAAAACCCATCAACATTAGATACCAAGTTTTATCCGACATAGTAATGTAGAGCTGAAGATGTTTACATGTGTACTGGGATCTGGGTGTCACATGATCTTATTTCTGCTTCATCCCATGGTCCATGAATGTTACTGAAAAGGAAATTTAACGAAGAATAAGTGTCCTGTTTATTTGAAACAAATACAACAATTCACCACATTGTACATAACAGTAGAAGTATATACACAGTGTCTCAATATATAACACAATGTTTGCAGCTGTTTTTATAGAAGCAAATTCAAATTCAGTCCAAGTTACCACATATAAATAATATAATTAGCAATACATATCTGATAGGAGGTCATTATATATTAGCTGTACCAAATTACACTAACACCATGTATGAACGTTCACTAACATTTTGAACTACAGTTAGATCCCACCCCATGTAAGTAATTCACTTAAAGGAACAGTAGCCTCTAGGTTCTAGGGTTATTTTCAGCTAATTTAGGTTATAATTGCGCTACATAAAAAGTTTCATGGTTCAATCACCATTAGAAATATTTTTTTTAAATGTTTTAAAACTAACGACTACAGTTTGATTGCAACGACGGTGGCGCCACTCAAAGCGCACGATCTGAGAAGTTGCGCAAAACCACTTTCCAGCCAAGGGCTACAGACCGAGGGTATTTCTTATTTATTCATTTAAAAGCAAAAGGATTGTAATATCTTATAAACGACATATAGTTTCAGTTATAATATGGATAAATTTGCCCTAAAATGAATATCGTTCGGTTAAATAGCATTTAGGTATAAATATAATTGCACTTTTGTGATTAGCCCTCGGTCATTTACCTGCAAAATAAAAATGCAAATACGCAACTTTTTCAGGGTGGCAGCACGGTCGCGGGTGTCATGGCGCCGTTCAAATTTCGTAGCGTTGATGTGTAAATAATTAATTAAGTATCTGGTGACAAATACATGTGGGTATAGACGATTTGTTATACAGTAAGTACAGTTGTATGCAGTAAAATCCTAGAGGCTACTGTCCCTTTAAGAAAAAACGTTTGAACAGGAAAAATTGTAACATGAATCACATTTTCCCACTGACTGTCACTTCCATGATGTAATTGGACATGCAATACAATGCAACATCTTTCTTATACAAGATGGATTATGAAGGCAATTAGGATTGCAAGTAGATATTTTTAAGTGCATATATTTGATGATTTAATGATGTAGCACAGTATCATGATAATACTTGGAGGGAACGGTAATTAAGAAATATATTTATTATTCGAGGACTCACTGGAAGGGAGAGGGAGGAGAAAGGGCACTTAACTCCTGGATCACATTTGTTATCACTACCATTGTCAAATGCCCCAGGCTCTGACCTGAAACTCAAAATGATAAACATAATCACATTTAATTCATCACTTACTCTTTGAAAGGTTGAATCTGAAGAAGCCACAGTGGACATACGAACGTGATGAACGTGTGCAGTATGAGAAAGAGAGCAGCGCAGGGTGGAGAGATGTGCCACAACCCTGCCAGTGCCACGAGACCAAGAACTAACGTCATCATCGCCTGAACACGTGATCCGTAGCATCCCTGCATCAGCAAACTAGCATCATTATACATTCCTATCAGTATGAATACTCGTGCTCTTTGGAGGAGGCATACACAATTAATTGCAGAGACTTTCATTCTTGCAGACTATTACCGGGGCATTTGCATTTGCAGACCTATTGACTATTACTCTGGAAAAAAACATAGACTACTCTAGATACTCTATACATAGATACATAGAAACTCTATACGCAGAAACATTCGTTTCCAGAGAGTAGTTTCGAAATAAAATATATTGAGTATTATCACACGTGACTATTGTGTCCCACATTACACGATCAGACTACATATTAAATGGCTACCGTATCGCACTACACAGAATACTCTAGATAGGATCGCAGTTGTGTTCTAAAGCGTGAGGCATCTTCGTTAAGATTGGACCTCCGCAGTGAAAATGAGCTTGGGAAGTTACCTTTAACCGTTTGCGAAAGATGGGCAACATGGCGAACATTTCAGCACTCAGGGTGACCGTAGCGAAGGTGTGCCACAAAGTAGGCAGGCGCGACGCCAGACACACAGAGGCAAACATCGCAGCGTTGAAAGACACAGTCCCCGAGACTCTGCAACAACAAATACATATAAATTCCATATTTATTTATTTATTAATTTAAAGATGATACATTGGTAACAGATATGTCAACATGAGCTTGCGAGCTCCTCACCGTCAGTGCAATAAATGGATAAAATTCTTAGTTAAAAGTGTCATTTTTTAACAAAGTAACAAGCAAGAGTACCATAATTATATTTGCAAGTGTGCTATTTTAATAGGGTTAAAGTGATTACGTCACGAATTTCTAGCACCATCAAGTAGTATATTTGTGTGTTATTTGTACAAAATAAAATGTATGAAAATACAATTAGTGTTTCTGTTTACTTTTCATGCTTATATACCTTCTTTATATGCCCTAATTTGCCGGTGAAAAACAGAAAGACGCCAGTATCTGAGCAGTACTGGGGGAATAGTGTTAGACAACAGAAATTACCAAATCGTCTAGCTTTTTGCAAATTTAACCAATGTAAAAGCATTTTTATCAGGTGAGAGTTTGAGGATATATTTAGTAACGTTAGTTCTAACTTTTAATGTAAAAAAATGGCAATTTTTTTTTACAAATTTTACCATGGAAAATTCGTGACGTAGTCAATTTAATCTGAGTGCCAAGTGTTCGCATAAGTGCAGTTTATGCTACTTTCAATTAAGGCATGAGGTTATAGATATCCGTACGAGTACAAGGTTATAAAATGAAAGCTTGCAATTATTTCAACTTTAATGGTTCGAGCATAGTAGATCTATAAGAATGGAGTAGATACATACATAGCTGCGCTTGGTCCATAGTCGTACAGAACAAGGTTGGCTAACAGCATAGCAGTGCTCATAGCATAGATGGTGTCAGTGCTAATGGATTCCGTTAATGTTGCCAGAATGGGCGCCAGTCCATAGGCAAGGGCCAGAAATGTAATAGCTGCCTTTATATCATCTACAACTTGAATGAGAGATATGATTAGTGAACATATGTACTTTATTCTGCGCTGTCTCTAAGGGTGGAGAATAGTGACAGATCGATGGCCAGGGTTAGAAGAGGAAAGTAAGACCAAGAGAATACAATGTTCTTCTAATACAGAACACATATGTACGAAATACCATAAGAATGCTCAACGTACTGAACCGTATGTGACAGGCTCATTATTGAACGGTGCTGCCACCATGTGGTAGAAATTCCCAGTTTTAAAACTATTTAACAAGCACAACTGAAATACTACCATTTAGTTACTACAGTGAAAACAATTCTTTTAGCACAGCAATATGAAAGTATAACTTTTTAGGTAAAAAACTACAAACAAAGATTGACAAACAGAGATTAACAGCTAACTCATATACTCACTACAACTCTCTTCATTCCCACCATCCTGCTCAGAAATGCTGACTGTTCCTGCACTAGCCGTGCTTTTATAGATCACATAAGCGATAAGCGTGAGAAGTGCAGATACAGCAAACAGTGTGTGCGGCGACACCTCACCCTCTTGCATGAGAACAAAACTGTCCACAAAAATTATGACACTGGGGAAAAAAGTGATACAATCAGTATACACGTATACATCCACCCACACACACAACTGACACGTATACATCCACCCACACACACAACTGTTTTCACCCTATATTTTTAAGAAGTTTACGTGAATCCATTTAACGATTGCTCAACATTGAATTCACATAAGATTCATCGTTATATACAGTAGCAATGTACGTCATCCCTGTTTGCCTGCTCCTAATTGTATTATTAAGATGAGATACACGAAATAGGCCTGATGCTCACCTGCTAAGCTGCTGGGTCACTACTCCAGACTCCAACACTGTCGGCCAAAAACTGTATGTAGTTGTATTTACTGTGAACCAGAACAACAAAATAGACATCACGGAAATGCTTTTATACCACATTAACACGTTCAACGCTGCCGCTGTTAACAATGCACCCTTGTTTTTACCGCGTATTCACTTTTTGATTTACCACATTTCCTTTGCAGGAAAGCTAACCAAACTGACACATTTACTCTGCATGAGTGTTATGTCACCCTTACACGTTCAAATAGTATGAAAATCGTTCCCCTTCATAATAATATATTGATATGAAAACAGGGCAAAAACGGACATTTTGTGCATTTTCGTCTCAAATGCCACCGCACCGGTGGATTTTCGCGAGTTTGTTATGATACCATTCGACAGTATACTATTTTTTCCGGTAAGAAATGTGACAATGCTTACACATGTGTGGGATATGAACCTTGTTTTGTGTTTCTACATGCAAAAATACCTCGAAATTTTATATACTACACAGTTATTATATTATATTCCGTTAGGAAAACGGTAAACAAACCTTGTTTCGATCTATGTCTTCTAGTTTACCTTCTAGTTTTACGAATTTACCTTAAGTCTCAAAACTCATAATTTCACGTTCGAATCAACGGTAAAGCATTGTATTCTTTATTTCATGTAAGACTGGGGTAATATCTAGTTAGGTAGTGCCTGCCATCTGTTGGAAATCAGAGTAACAAAAACCAATAATCTATCCACGAGCTGACTCGTGGATCTGCGGGGACCGTGTTAACTCCCAATATGCACATAAGCAGCAATAGTCTATACAGCAGGAATTTATAACCTCGCTGAGATCTGTACATGAAGTTTCTTGGTGCAAGTAAAGTAAAATAACTATATTTTCACAGATTGCAATCAATGTTACCATTTTTTCTTAGTTCATCCAAAAATGTCTCATCAACATAATTGTCTGGAACGTCCTGTTTCTCATATAGAACTCTCTTCCACTTCAACTGGTTTGGTGGCATACTACATCCTGAAATTAAATAAGAAAATTATGTAAAAATCCTTGATCTTGAGAATACATGCGTCTAAACAGAGGAATTGCTCCGACCTGTGATTGGAGGATAAAAATAGAATTTGTGATATTTCGTTTTCATATATTGCATACCCTGCCACATACGCTATTACGCTATGACCGGTAGGAAAGTGTACTAACAATCCTATGGCGCGGTATAATGTATATATAAATATGCACGCGCAGTATCGCGCATACTGACGCTTATTGTGTGCAGCCGGCTACACGCGTGGCTACGGCCGGTAGGAAAGTATACTAACTATCATATGGCGCGAACGATTTGAGTTACATTTCTATAAATTCTAGCTATTATAGGCACATGTCTTAGCTATGATCCCTGCGAGTCTTAAGTTTATTGAAGTGCGATTAGCTTAATTAATTAGCAAATATGTACGCGCGGTATCGCTCATAGGCTAAATGACAAAATGAAAAGGAAGCGTCACTAATTATATTTTTATCATCCAATCACAGGTCGGAGCAATTCCTCTGTTCAGACGCATGTTGAGAATTGATTTAAAAATCAATCTACATCAACTTGCAATTGTAAAGTGACATGTGCAATTTCTAAACAGCGTGTATGAAATATAGTATACACCCATGAAAAGTTCAATCTTAATCTTACAATCTCATAATGGTAACGTTTCCGAGTCCAGAGGACTATAACAAAGATGGAGCTTGACGTCGATCATATATAGCTGGTTATACAGCTTACTGCATGGTTTTTATCCCCCACCGAAATAGTAGTCACGCAGTGGCGCCTAACTTTTCCCTTGAGCTTAAATCCATCGTCATTGGACTGCACATTTCAGTCACACCGAGCTTAGTACAAATGGCAGAAATTGCGTTATTTTTACTCAGTGAGTCTCAGGAGACAGCGTATAGCTAAGTAAATGAGATCCAGTGACCGGAAACACCAAGTAAACCAGTGGTTTATTGATCAATTGGGCATGTCACGCTAGTGATCTGGTCGCTAGCTCAGTAGCTGTGACAACGTCTCGTTGTTTGGAAACTCGGCGAACTATACCAGTAGGCCCTATACGTTGGGTATGATTTAGAGCCTTTCCAAAAGCTCAGATGGGCCCAAGGATAGAACAGCTGTCCACATTTGCACATTGCGAAAATGCATTGGGGTCACCTAATACATCCTGGAACCCTCGGATGACCGTGAAGCTGAGAAACTGCACTAACAACCTAAAAAGTAAAAGTAAAACTAAGCATAGGCTAGCCTATACTATTACTAGTACTGTCTACTGAGTACCGTTTCACTTTCAGTGACACTGACACTCACACTGTGACAGTGTTAATTTTAGAGTACTGTGACTGCCCAACGTACCACGCAACTGTGTATACAACTGTATATACAACGATATACTCTACAGTACCCCAAGTATTCGCAAGGTACACATGCATTTTATATAGCTATTCATATAAAATTGACATAAAAGTAAAAACTGACCGAATGTTTTGGTTTTAAACGACCAAGGCAACACGCGGGAAATGTGAGGGGAAGTGAGTTACAGAGCCATCTATTAGGCAGATTTTTATGTAATTTTGTAAAAACTAGATAGCATCATAACTATTTAACAATTTCATACCTAATTTTGAAATGTATAAACACTATAGCGATAAAGTACATATAATACCTACGCAGGATTTTATTAAGTTATTCAGTATTTGTAGTATACGCATGATTATTTTTGTTCAACGGAAGTAGTTTCGTTTGGGCGGATGGATAACATATTCGTTCACACTACGAAACTGATTTATTCTTGAACTAAGTTCAGCAGTATTGAAAATAACTAAAATTTAATCAAAGTATATAATACAACATGTTAATAGGTTCCTGAATATTTTGAGATGTACTAGCCAGTAGTACGGCTAAAATATCTAGTTCTAATATTGGGTTGGGACCACCAAATGGCGGTTATGCGGCTGTGCTTTTGTTCCGCAATTGAAAATGCGCATAGAGCGGCAGCCATCTTGTTGAAGATTTTGATCCCCAAGATATTGTGAGTAGAAAAACCCTTCGGGTAAACATTGTGCAGAGTTTCAAAAAGCCCAACATGTCTAGATTTTTTCTTTTCCTTATACGGATTATGTGAAACGTTCGTTCTTGCAGGTTTGTAAATTTGCTTACAAAAAGATGGCGACTGTTTTTTAACATTTGAAAATTGAGTTTGTTTACACTGTACAAACCCACAAAAACATAGCTACAAACCATAATAAGTGTGATCTCCTCATTTATCTTGTTACTCTCGTAACAGGTAGGTATTCAGTATGACAGTGGGGATTTATCAGACGGCATTGACGGATGTTATTGATTTTATTGCCCAGATTCCCTAAACAAATACAATGTCAAATCTTGTAAAAATTTAATGAGGATGATTAAGCATATATATATATTATTACACGTCAGTCAAGTAACAGAACTTAGGTAGGTTGCCTAGCATAAATCGCAAAGCCTATTCTAACGCAGTGTTTGTACTTTGTAGTCAGTAATCCAACGATTGTAATTAACTGAGCCACTTGTGTTTACACCTGCACTACAAAACGAAATATAGGCTCCTACTGTGTGGCCTACGTGCTACAGTCCATCAGCATGAATTAGTTCATGTAATTGGCACACACTAAAATATATGCAGTCATTCTATCATCTTTCCATCTAATTTTGGGGTATGTGGTTACGTACAGTACACCAATCTCTTCACATAGATGACATGTTGTTGTTATTTACGTGCGTTCATCTTGGTTTATTAATATTATACCTGAAAAATGTGCAAACGTACTTATGCATTTAGCTTGGCATGGACATATGTAATATCAAATCCTATTAGTTAGCAGATAACTTGTTATTAAAATTTTCGTTATGGGCAATGTATGCGTGATAGCTAGAACATGACGCCCCTTGTCGTTCACATGTTGTAGGCAGCAAGGCAGGTTGTCATGCGAATACCGTCAGATTCGGTGACGTAATGTTTGAAGGCAAGCACATACACTATTCGCTGCAGGACAACAAACCTCTATGTTCCTTCAGCGGAAAGGTCTGCAAGCAGCGGCGACTTAACGGATATGCATTCTGCATACGGCACATCTTAGAGGTAAGGACATAGTAGGAGAGCGAACATAACATTACTGTGTCTAGGTGTATAGCGTGTTTGTTCCAATACAAGGGGGGTGTTGGTCGTTGTCATCTTTAGGAGTAGTTTGCAGGGTAAAACTACATTATATGACAGCGATCTAGGGTGTATTTGCTTGTGTGGGTGATTAGTGTTGGTTGTGGTTTGCTGGAGGGTATATTCATACCTTGTTTACTTTTCATGTTACCCATTTTATTCAATTTTTGCATTTGTGCAGCAGTTTTTTTCCTAGAGAACATGTTTTTTCTGAAATTATAAATTGCTTGAGTACATGTAATCTGTAGGTTTTGTCACATTCCCTCAAAATGCTTCGTTCTTCAGGACAAATCGGCACCGTTCAAGCAGTGCAAGTATTTTACCACTAAGGGAACCAAGCCAAAATGTTCCAACCCAATACCACAAAGCCAGGAACGAGAGTAAGTCCAATACTCACGTCTGTGCACGCATGCACGCCATTCTATATATGTGATTACGTAAATCAGCTCGCATCTTTGATTTACACACTTACGTCTTGCGTTGCCACGATGCATTTTGGTTATTCGATTTACGCTCGCCCCGTGCGTTTTGGTCATACAATATACGCTCGCCTCATGCGTTTCGGTTATACAATAATATATGCTCACCTCGTGCGTTTTCGTTATCCGACAGGTACTGCAACTCCCACCTGCAGGTGTTGGGAATGCTGCCACGCAAGGAGAAGAAGAAGAAGAAAGAGGACGGACCAGCAGACGAGGAAAGCAGGATGAAGTTTGCCGAGAGGCTGCGAGCGATGCTGAACCAGAACGGCGGCAGCGCCGCGGCCAACGGCGACGACGCCAAGAGTCCCGATGACCCGTACGAGTTTCCCGGGTGCGAGACGGTGGCGCCCCCGCCCGCGCTCGTTGCACCGCCGCGTTGTTCGACGACGGAGATGAGTCCGATTGGTCAGCTGCTGCAGAGCTCGCTGGTACCGCAGAACGTGGCGCCCCTGCTCACGCAGCAGCAGCAGCGGGCGTCCGCCGCCGCCGCCGCCAACTCGCGGCAGCCGTTCTCCGAACTCATCCAGCGACTGGAGAAGAACAGTCGCGGGAAGTCGTCTTCGGACGCGAGGAAGTCGTCGCCGGGGAAGGTTGGCGGCAGCGGGGCGGGCGGCGGCGTCGCCACGGCGGCCGCGCGCACGATGAACCAGCTGCAGAGCAAGATAGCGCAGAACAAGCTGCTCGAGAAGCTGCGCAAGAGCCGCGAGGGGGCGCCGCCGAGCTCGAGCAGCAGCGACACGAGTCCCGGTGGCGCCCCCTCCCCGTCGCCGTCGTCAGGCGTCGGCAGGCAGCCGGTGGACGCCGCGGCGCCCTCACACAAGTCTCCCGCGCGCGTCGCCGCAGCGCCAGCGAGCGACGACCCGTTCTCTAGTCAGCTGTCGATTGGCGCCTTCGGTGACGGGCTGGACCTAAGCGCCGACGAGCTATCGAAACTGTCGCCGTTGGAGCTGTGTAAGCTGGGGCTGGGGGCGGCCGAGCTGCACAAGCTGGGCCTCGGCGCGTCGAACTACAACCGCGCCGCCCTGTGGCCGCCGATGAACGGCTCGGTGGCGCCCCCCGGCGGCGGGATTCTGCCGTCGCTGCTCGGGCGGCACCTCGCGCCACCGCCTCCGTACTCGCCCGTGCGGCTGCGCCCGCCTCCGCCGTACCCGACGCATCTCGCGGCGGCGGCGACGACGACTACGACGACGACGATGACGACGACGACGATGGAGGAGGAGAAGCCGAGGTTGTCGAGTGATCTCACGCGCGTGGTCGGCCGTCCCGTCGCCCGCGGCGACGAGCGGAGGGCGCACGGCGGCACGCCTGCATGCGCCGTGGCGACGAAGCTGAAGCAGAAGACGAGGGAGGAGCATGCGAAGCCTCATAGGTACGAGGAGCATCCGCTGCTGGGGCGGCTGTACAGGGAGAGGCGGGATCGAATCCAGTCCAGCAAGAGCTTATTGCGAACAGGTGAGTGAATGCGAGCGGTCCGCTAGAAATTAAGATTTACGTTAATTACAATGTATACTATATACGTGTAGTAGGTATATACTATTGTTTATGCGCTTACTATCATTACATGCCCTAAAATTCTATGGTGTACACTGTACAGGGTGCGAAATTACAAGAGTCCGGAGTCAAATACTCCCTGATTTTACATATGCAGGAGTCCGTGTGACTCCTTGAAAATTCTGCCATACTAACTAGTTCGTTCCAGAGCACGGCCTCGCGGAATTGCCGTATTTTTTCAGCTAATGTCCAAAGAAAATTTGGCAGACGTGCAGCTGCATGAATCTTAAAAACAAGCACATGCGTTATTGTTAATATCTTTAATTTTGAACCTCAGACTGTGGATTCCCTCATTTTGCTGCGAACTCCCTCTTTTTGAGGGTAGGGAGTTCGTTAGACTCCCGTGTTCAAAAGTGAATTTCTACCCCTGTATATATATACTATTGTTTATGCACAAGTTTACTATCATTACATGCCCTAAAATTCTATGGTGTACTTATTCCTTATAACATTTACGTTAATTACATTGTTACGAGTGTTTTGTTAGGTCTTAAATTGCGTATACATACATCTTACATTGAACACATGGTGAAACCAGTGAATTTTTCGATTTTTTCACTGTGAAGGTAGAGGGATTAAGCATTTTATTGAAATGAGTTTACTGATGTGGGGCCCGTTGTCATAAACAAAACATTACTCATTACATGAACTTTCTCATAAGGCTGTTGAGAGAAACTTCATTAGGGTAATAGAATGAAAAATCCTAGCAAATTTTGTCAAACTTTACAATATGCGAGACCCACCAGTTATTATTTATATCAGGGGTGAATATCTGTCATTATTCAACCCTGTTTAAATGTAATTAAAACCATCATTAAATGTGTCTTCCAGTTCCACAAAATAAAAGTATTTAAATTTGAGATTTGTGATCGATTTTCTTCTAATTGGCCACTTTGTGACAGCAAATTACCAAGTTCCTGTTGTCGTAAGTTTTCTTGTAGTATGTTTCTGTCAACACTGTCTTAACAATAGTAATCGTAAGTATTATATCATAGCAGTATCTTTCCTGGTACCTTTATGTTTCTAACAACGGGCCCGTGTTTTAATAATATAAATTCCTGTAATTTCAGTTATGTGCGAATATGCATTACTTTAAAATCTGTTGTGTGTAATACTTTTTTCTAAACTGTCATTTGTGTGTACATATGGTTGGCATGGGTCAGGGTTGTAGGTCTGTACTAGTTTGCCAAGAACCAGCCAGTTTTCATTGTATAAACTGATTCATGTGGTTAGAAACAGAGCCTCACAAGAATACACATTTATTTTAGATCTAGAATCAGCTGATGA